CCAGACGCCAACCCTGGCCCGAGCGGGGCACGCCGGGGCGCCCCCGCGTGAACCCTGCCTGCCACGCGAAGCCCGAGTCGGCTAACGAGGAAGCTCTTCGAGGCGCGAATAACTTCAGGAGGGCAAGGGGTGAAGTCAAGCCGTTTAGTGAGGCCCAGCAGGCCAGTGCAGGGGCCGCTGCCCGCGGGCAGAGCGGCCGGCCGCCGGGAGCCCAGGCGGCTGCAGAGGGTGTGTCGTGTGTGAGGTGTCACAGGCAACCAGGGCGCTAAATCCAGGAGGTGTTTACTGAGTATCCGGGGAGGCGAGCTGGGGTGGGGCTCCCCCAATCTGATCCTCCACGGCTCTGGGCTGACTCATTCTTTCTTGGGCTCTAGGGTGGAGCTGACACTTGTTCCCTGAGTTGGGCCTTGCTCCCCCTGGTCCTTGGTGGGCCCGGTCTCCCCAGTCACCAGGGCCACATTCCTCAGGTAGTGCGTGTTGAAGCAGTTGGTCTGTTGGTCCCCTGGACTGAGGTCACAGCAGAAGGCCATGTCGTGCCAGGAGTTCCGCCAGGAGCCGCACAGCTCGTCGATGAAGGCCGATTTCTGGTGAAGGAGAGAGGGGCGGGGAGGCCGTCAAGGCCAGGTGTGCATGTTGGGTGCCCCAAGCCCCCCTTCCCGCCGCCTCTACTGCTCTCCCCGGAGTCCCTTCCTGGGACCCCAGGAGGCCAGGCTGCCTCGCAGGGGGAGGCGCCGGTGGCAGCCAGTAGGTGCGCTGTGAACGCCGGCCACGGCACGCTCAGACGGGCACAACAGGGACAGACTTCCCGGGCGGGGAGGGGTCTCCCCGTCGTTCCTCCTGCGGGCTGGTGCGGGGTACCAAAGGCAGGTGGCCTGCAGCTCGCCCTCGCTGCTCCCGGCCCCCGCGCCCGGCCGGCGCCCACACGCACCTCGTCCTCGGCACAGCAGGCCTGCTCCGGCGGCGGCAGGTCGCAGCAGCGGACGGTCATGTTGTGGATCAGCCCGGGGATCTGCTTGCTGTGTTGGTGGGGAGGGCGGGTTAGGTCCCCGTGCACCCCAGACATCCCCCCAAGGCTGGGAGACTGATTCTGCCCTTGCGTGAGCACCCCGAGGGTGCCCCAGAGGAGTCTGGGGACGGACAAGGAGCCGGGGAGCGCTGGGCAAGACTCACTGCTTGCTGAGAACTCTCCGGTTTCCACAGAGGTGGTTCATAAGGTTGGGGGTGACGCGGCTGAGGTCAAGGGTCAAGATGTCCCGGTCGTAGTTGGGGTAGGGTGCCCTGCGGGCAAAACACTCATCACGGGCAGGGCTAGGAGGGTGCTGGCAGCACGAGTGGTGGTGGGTCTTCACAGCCTGCTCCCGGTCACAGTAGCCGTCCAGGGCGTCCTCCCACTGCGGGCCAGAGAGAGGGGGTCAGCGCCCGCCCCTGGGCCCGACTCCCAACTCTGCTCCCCCCAGAGTCCCCCTGCTGTGAGGGGCTCCCGGCCAGGTGCCCGACGGGAAGGCAGAGGGCCAGGGCGGCGGCCACTGTGGACGTGCGGGGCTGGGAAGGCGAGGGTGGAAGCGGGGTGTGGTTGGAGGCCGGCCGCGGGAGACAGCTGCAACGGGGCGCGTCGGCGGGGCAGAGCC